CGAAACTTTTCCCCCTAGTAACTGCCCAGAAAAAGAGACAAAAAAAAGGGGGGGGGGGGGCGGGACAAAGGAATTTAAATATAATAGGCAAAAAACACCGCAAAAGGAAGAGAGGCCGAGGGGCGGATCCTTGTATTTCTTTGGCAAATTTATACGTAGGATGCACGTGTGGAGGGGTAGGATGGTAAGCGTGGGTGTGGGAGCTGTGGTTAAAATGCTGCCTACCCCCCAACACTTTTCCTGCCACGTCACCACATCACCTAGACACTCCCCCGGAAATTTTCCCACCGATAACCGGCCAAAAAAAAAAGAAAAAAAAAGGGGGGGGGGGGGGGAGGGTCAAAAGAATTCAAATTAAATTTGACAAAAACAAACCGCAAGAACGTATAGACTGCGGGCAGTCTCTTATTTTTCTTTGCCAAGTTACTGCATGCGAAACCCAAGCACGCTAGTGGCTGAGCAGGGAGCCGGGATAAACGAGGGCGTAAGCCCGTGAGGAAAAAATAAGACGTCTTTTCTCGTCTCGTCCCAATCCCTTATTGTAACATAACGTCGTGGTTTGCAATAAGGCTGGCTGAGATAAGAACTAGAAGGATTTTAAGAGAAAAGGCGGACTGCAGGCAGTCTAAAGAAGATGGTGCAGACAGGGTTTCTGCCTATCGGACTCTGTATGTAACATTTCCTTTGATACCGTAGATGTCGGATGCTTGAGAAATGAGCTTTTGTTCTTTTTTATTATTCGCAATTAAAGACTGAAGTAAAGTACTGCGGGTGTAGTAACGACTAAAGAAATAGTCTGTTGTGTGAAGAGAGAATTTATTGTTGTTTAGTTATTTTGCTTTCGCTGATAAAAATATGAAAAGCCAAGGTGGAAATCCTTCATTCTTTAGTCTTAACTTCTCTAAGCCGTAAATAACCTGTTGATTTATTGAGCGTAAACTTATTTGTCAAGTCATCATAACATTGTATTTAGTCTTCAAACTGTAATCAGCCTCTAAGAAGCCGTTGTCCAACCGTGAAGCTTTAATTTGGAAGTAATTAATGTTTCAAAACAAACGCAGTTTTCCACCAATAGTCTTTTAGAAATGATTGTTGTGCTCTGTAATTTGACTCGTTGAGTTGTGATGTAGTCTGTATCGCTTCGCTAGCTTAGGCTTAAATGCGAGTGCTTTGTAGAAGTTTCTTCGCTTACCACATCTAGGTCGCTTGTAGTCGTGGTTACATTTTGGTTGGTTATGTTTTGACTGTACTCGCGGTATAGTCCTGGATTAAACTTCTACATTAGAGCCAAGTTCTGTTTGGGATCATTGTCTCAAGGGTATTCAACAGGCGTAAGAGATTCCGTGCCTTCCCGCAGCCAGCGAGTGTCCCCGGGAAAAGGTCTTTCCCAGACAGTTTCAGAGTTTTTCCCCGTCCGTCAATTTACCCTTTTGTCAAGGCAAAACCTGTCATTCACACTTGGAATAGAGGAATTTCGGGTTTTAATCTTTCGTGGAAATATAAAACCTAGCTGCCACAATATATACGCGTTAACGCGTGTATAAATACACAAAAATTCAAGGGCCTCGATTCCAGACAAGATACATCATTGTCAGAGATAAAAAAAAGTGATTTACATGGCAAGTCATTTCAATCATCACCGAAAATAAACCGCATGCTCATCTCAGGACTGACAGTTTACAACACCCGACCATCGCGGTTTTGTTAATTGAGATTCTTATTTTAATTCGACCACTCAGTAGTGTTCACTTGTTCCAAAGGAATCAACGCTTTCAAGCGATAGAATTCGTGGGCCGACAAGCTTCAGAAAAGCTCTAAATTTAACAAGCAAAGAAGTTACATTATATCAAAAAACCAGGGAATTAAAAGCAGATAAAATTAAAAAAAAAAACACCGTAACTAAAAACGTCTATCAGAAAATGGGTCTCATTTACCTGGTCAGGAATGTAGTAGCTCAAACTCAGTGGCACCTCCAAGCACAGTTAATAATCGATCCATGCAATCAAAAACGAGAAAATTTAAAATAGTCCCTTTTCTTACTTAGAAAACTATTGAATACAATGAAAATTAATAAATACATTCACACTGGAAAAACCTCAACCTGAAATACGAAGGCAGGAGGAACTTTCCTTGGGGTTCTTTTTTATTGTTTTGTCCTTGAAAAGTGATTCATGGTAGAGTCTGAATATTTCATTTTACTAGCTTCGCCTGTTACTGAACAATGAATAATAAATAAATGCTTAATAGGCAGGGGTGCTACAACAGCGGTTAGCCAATTAAAGTGGTCCCAGAGCTTAAAAAATATGTAAGAAACAGTAAAACTTCATGTGACAATTAAAAACAACAACGGAGACGGACAGACACGTTACGTGAAACGTTACACGACGGACAGATGGTTTTACCAGGATCGTGGGTTCGCTGGGTCGTAGTTACGTTCTAAGGCATCCACCTAGTACTTGTACATGATGGATTTGAATTGGCTGATCTGAAGGTTGCATGAAAGTTGAAGATCATTTGCCAGCGTGTTCCAGATTCTGGTGGTTCTATTAAAAAAGGATCTCTGAAAAGTGAGAGTATTACATTTCCTTGAAATAGATTAAGTGATTGACACGGTTGCTGTTAGATCTGGTAGTGCGAGAGGGAACAGAGGAACTAACTCTAACTGTTCCAGTTACAACTTTGAAAAGGAAAATCATGTCTAAAAACTCGTGACAATAGAAGATTGGTAATAAATTAAGATTCATTAGCCTGTCCCCATATGTTTGGTCACAAATGAATGGTAGATCCAGGATATACTTTGTAGCGCGCCTCTGGACACGCTCGAGCTTTCGAATCAGGTCTATTGACTGCGGAGTCCAGACTTGCGTGGCATAGCCAAGATGGGATCTCACTTGGGAAAGGTGTGCCGAGCGTCTAACCGGATTGCTTTTGACGAGTCTAGTGTTTCTCCGTACATATCCCAATAGCCTGCTGGCCTTAGCGCATTGTTCATTGACTTGCTTATTCCACTTGAGGTTATCCGTGATGTAAACACCAAGATCCTTCTCAGCACAGACAACTTCAAGCTGAGAGCCGGCCAAATGATAGACAAAGATGACGGGTTTAAGTTTTCTAGTGATGCCCTGCGCTTTACATTTGCTCTAGTTAAAGTTTAGGCTAGCAAAATCTGACCACGTGACCTGGTTAGATAGGTCCTCCTGAGGTTGTTCTGCATCGTGCGTTGATGTCATTTCTTTGAAAATCTTTGTGTCATCGGCAAAAGAGGTAATCTGGCTTGATCTAACAGCATCTGGCAAAGAGTTCACATACAGAAGGAATAACATGGGGCCTAGAATCGATCCCTGAGGGACCCCTGAAGTCACAGGTAGGGCGCTTGATGTTGCACCCAATATAGTCACTCGCTGGGATCGATTGTGCAGGTACGATTCTAGCCATGTTAGCAGGTTCCCCCCAAAACCATACTGATGTAGCTTCCTTACGAGGTTCGCGTGGTTTACCTTGTTAGAGGCTTTTGATATGTCCAAATATTTTATATTGACTTGTCTTTCTCTATCCAGCTTTGTGCCAATTTGGTCTAGAACGTCAACAAGCTGGGTTGCACAAGACCGTTCAGCTATGAAGCCATGCTGACATGAGCTGATAAGATTGAAAACATGGTCTCTAATAGCATTGAATAAGCACTTGTCCATGACTTTAGAAACAGTAGAAAGTAGCGAGATCGGTCTGTAGTTTTCTTCTTGTTCTTTATTGCCTTTTTTTTAAAACAGGAACGATGTTTGCTAGTTTCCAGTCCTCCGGTATACAGCCCAACGTCAGCGACTTGTTGAACAATTCGGTAAGCGAGGGTGCGCTATCACGTCAGGTGATTCTTTCAAAATTTTGGCAGGTAATTCATCTGATCCAGTAGCTATGCTAGCATCAAGATTAAGCAGGATTAGTTCAACTTCAGATACTGAGAGAATTACATCAGTCAGGAACGGGACTGAGTCTGGTAACTGACTATTCTACCTTTCTGGGGGTGGAGTTTCCTGATCAGACGCGAATACCGACACAAAATAGTGGTTGAATAATTCCGCCACTTCGCTTGGAATGGAGGCCTTGACTCTTGAGCTGTCACTGGTTGCCATGGTAATCGTTTCAGGGACCTTTTCGTGTATTGATCCGATCAGCAGCGTTTCGGGTTTGACTTTAAGTTTGATTCCATATCTACAGAAAAAAACCTCCCGACATTCGTGGAGTCTGCGTTTGATTTCAGAACGTAGAGACCTAAACTTTTCTCTTAGGAAACTTGATGCTCTTTGCTTTAGTTTCTTGCGTACTGAATTTTTTTTTGTTGATGAGGTTTATGACTGAACCATTGATCCAAGGAAGCAGGTTTGTTCCTTTGAGTTTCTTTTTCGGGATAAAGTCGGCCATGGCAGCAAGAACTGCATCTTTCCAACAACGCCAGTCGTTGTTAATGTCGGCAGTACCAGGGGAAATAAAATTCGATAAGTTTGCTACCCGTAGAGAAGAGCGTAGCCCTTTGAAATCGCCTTTTTTTTGTAATCTTAAATAAAGCGATTCATCTTTGGCGGGGCTTTTAGAGAAATTTGGAATTCGAAGGCGACAATAGCATGGTCCGTGGCCATGTCTGCGTGAATTGCCTTAACAACTTCGGTCACGTTGACTTGATCCGTAATGCTTGTGATCACTAAGTCCAAGATATTGTTCCCGCGTTTTGGTATGGTGCTCAGTTGCGTTAGAAAGTGATCATTAAGAATGTCGACTCATAGTATTCGTATCTTTTGTCCCCAACCTCATTCTCATGGTCCTTCTTACGTCATTCAGTTACGTCACCCTGACATAACATGTCGAAAGACAAACCCTGGGAACGAGGTAATACGTCATCCGCTCAAGACGTAGTTGAAGAGAGAAATGCTCTGGGGACCAGGGAGTCTGTAGCAGGCGCTCATAGGGCGCGCTTTAGGGCTCACGTGAGCAAACTGGGAATGAGTTACCTATTTGCTTGTGCATGCGACCTGCACTTTGCTGTAACCCTTGTGTTTCCCATTCGCAAATTGATCCTTGATCCAAGCTTGAAAAGATCCCCCTCCAGTTAAAAATAACCGCCTTCCTGATGTAAGAATAGTCATTTCAACAATGGCAACCGCTCCTGTGTCTAAGAGGTTATAAACATGCGGCTGAAAAAATACTGGATTGTGCAACAGTTCATCAAGATGATTTAAAAGCAAGGTGGTATTATTGCGAGCCAATGAGATACCGAAACTTTGAGATCCTGACGGTGAAAAGTCCGTAGCTACGAAAATTTTATGATTATCATATTCACTCGATCGATTGGTCATGGCTGACAGTTGTTTTAAGCAATTGACCAAAGCGGTAATAGTTCCATTAGGTCTCTTGAGAATTTTTTCCGAGCGAATGTGAAAGGAAACATAGTTTGAGCCTAACATCTTTGAAATAAAGTGTTGAGCGATTTCCAAAAGTTTTTCATTGAAAAATAGACTTATACTTTTATGATCGAGGGGATGATGGATGTTCGAAGGAAGTGGAAATAAAGCTCGATATGACGTCAATGTTCCATTTCCCCTCCAGTCTTCGATCCCAACACATTCATTTTCTCTGATCACGTCCTTTAGAAAATCTTCAACCGAAGAAAGCATCCCGGAATCCACGCAAATAGTTTTCAGTACTCTGAAACCTTTAACGAAACCTTGATGTCTTTGATTACCGCTACATTTTGTCTTTTTCCCTCGGTGAAAAGCTATATTACCATAGTTTATATATAGTAGTAAGTCCAACTTGTTCCGACAAACATTCTGAAATGTTTCCCAGCTCACCAAAGTGCTGTAACCGTGTGAGCGAAGCTTGTTGTTAAGTGCGCTCAGATTGTAGTACAATTCCAGCGTTTGAGTGTCACTACTCATTTTAGAACTACCGAAAAACCTTGAATTTTTAACAAAAGGTACAACAACTTGGTGCCCACTGTAGCTCCCTAAAGCCGCGAGGGCGAGTAAGTTTCTAGTGGCCATTGAAAGTTGTTCAGCATACGAAAATACGAAGTAAAACTTTCCATGCGTGATCGTATTCGTGTGTTCTGTTCTGTTGTTGCGAATGGTGCCGTCTCCAACCATCCTCGACATTCTTAAAAGCATTGATGACCATTCGGTGTAATTAAACATGCATATTACCACTGCTAGCCATAGAATGACAATGGTCCCAAAAAGTACCTTACCTAAAGTCTTAAAGGGTCCCCGCAAAGGAAGCATTTTGTTATCTGAGTATGCGAGTTAATGAAGTGCCGTTCTCGCCATAAATAAATGCGTAATTAACTAAAAGTTTTTTCAACAAAGATCTTGTGTTCTAATACCGTGGGTAGGATCACTTCGAACCCAGCGTTGTTTTCATCTTTTGTTTTTGACAACAACAACTGACACAATACACTTCATTAATTTGCATTTCACTAGTTGAATCTTTGTCCACGGCTGCAGCAAATGCATAATTTTTGCGATATTTAAAAAGATCACCACACTTTTTTAAATTGTGTTTTTTTTCTTCATCAGTCCTGAGATAAGGCAAGATCTCGCTCAACCCCACAGTATGCATACCTACGGAGTTCAAAATCGAATTTTTCTGGTACCGAACTTAATACTTACAGTATTTGGATCAACGCAAATAATACAAGTTCCACCGTTGATTCATACGTCAAACGTCATGAGTCGGACTCAGTTCTCTAGATCACGGTGTTCAATTCTTACCAGTCAAATTTAGTTCGGCATATGAAAAGTTCAACGCGTTTAAAGCGAAGTCGCTCCACAGTCGAAATTCGCATGCGGTCATGCCGAGCTTATAACTCATGGGTCAACCAGATATTGGGTCAGATATTGTGAAGCCGCGCGTGTTTTAATTTCTTTACTACGTTAAATTCACAATTGGAGATAGTTAAAACACGAGCAGCGTGATTCTGCAATTTCTGCAATTTAGAAGATAGGTTCTTAGAACAGTTCCCCCATACTACGTAATAGTACGTAATCAAAGTGTGACTGTCCCACTGCAGTAAATTGTATACGTTAAGCAGAATATCAAAAGGGGGAAAATACCTAATACACTTGATCGCATTTATGCCAGAAGCAATCTTCTTAGAGATTTCATTAATATGACACTCCCAAGAAAGATTTCCGTCGATATGAACATCAAAAGGTTCTTAAGTCGAGACTTGTTTGATCGGAAACTGATGAATTTAAATAATAGGATTATTTTTTAGGGTTGATAGTCTTAGTCTAGACCCAATTAGTAAAGATTCTGTCTTAGTCAAGTTTAGTGTATAGTTTTTTGCGCCGTTTCGGTCTGAACACGGGTAAAGGCCATTTTAGTCTGGTAGCGGGTGTGATTTTCGATGGAACTACGGGAGTGTATGGACGTATTTGTCGTTTCTGCTTGCAAATGAATAGGAAAAAACTGAAAGTAATTCGAAATGTATTCTAATAAATTAAATCTTTTGCTGGCGTTCTAATCTAGTATATGACATGTCCTGCTCTGAAAAAGGGTATGGATTTTAGAGGCCAGGGCCCAGTTGCTCGAAGCATGGTTAACCAGCGTTAACCAGCGTTTAATACCTTGACAACGTATTGCTCTTGATACTGCTTAACCAATGGTTAAAGCTAACCATGCTTTGAGCAACTCAGCCCAGGTCTGTAAATGGGCATGGTCCCGGATGAAATAGGGTCAGGATTTAGAGAACTGGGCTGCATACCCCACCAAGAATTCCCAGGAGTACCCCTGCGATCTTACATAACCCTTGAGGTTGCATTTCAAAAGGTACTATGAAACTGACTTGGAATGAGGTTACTACGTCATCTACTCTTGCCTGCGAATACAGCCGTCCTTTCTCGCTCCTTGAAGCTAAAACGTCCCTAGCAGAGAGGAGCAGGAAGAGGCGGTTTTCCGCTGGCTACATCCACTCAAGGCAGTTGAAGAGAAAAATACACATGTGCAAACTCGTCCCCAGGGCGTTATCCTTAGAAAGTGGGAGGGGCGGGCCCTGGCAACGAGGTTGCAGCCGGTCTGCTATTGGTCTGTCTAGCGCATGCGCTCATTTAGAGAAAGAGAATGCTTATGCACGCGAGCAGGCTGGAAATTAGTTGCTTAGTTACTTGTGCACGCGGCGTGCACTTTGCCATAACCATTGTGTTTCCCATTCGCAAATTGATTCTTGATCCAAGCTTGAAAAGATCCCCCTCCAGTCAAGAATAACTGCCTTCCTGAAGTAAGAATAGTCATTTCAACAATGGCAACCGCTCCTGTATCTAAGAGGTTATAAACATGCGGCTGAAAAAATACTGGATTGTGCAACAGTTCATCAAGATGATTTAAAAGCAAGGTGGTATTATTGCGAGCCAATGAGATACCGAAACTTTGAGATCCTGACGGTGAAAAGTCCGTAGCTACGAAAATTTTATGATTATCATATTCACGCAATCGATTGGCCATGGCTGACAGTTGTTTTAAACAATTGACCAAAGTGGTAATAGTTCCATTAGGTCTCTTGAGAATTTTTTCCGAGCGAATGTGAAAGGAAACATAGTTTGAGCCTAACATCTTTGAAATAAAGTGTTGAGCGATTTCCAAAAGTTTTTCATTAAAAAATAGACTTATACTTTTAAGATCAAGGGGATGATGGATGTTTGAAGGAAGTGGAAATAAAGCTCGATATGACGTCAATGTTCCATTTCCCCTCCAGTCTTCGATCCCAACACATTCATTTTCTCTGATCACGTCCTTTAGAAAATCTTCAACCGAAGAAAGCATCCCGGAATCCACGCAAATTGTTTTCAGTACTCTGAAACCTTTAACGAAACCTTGATGTCTTTGATTACCGCTACAAATTGTCTTTTTCCCTCGGTAAAAAGCTATATTACCATAGTTTATATATAGCAGTAAGTCCAACTTGTTCCGACAAACATTCTGAAATGTTTCCCAGCTCACCAAAGTGCTGTATCCGTGTGAACGAAGCTTGTTGTTAAGTGCGCCCAGATTGTAGTACAATTCCAGCGTTTGAGTGTCACTACTCATTTTAGAACTACCGAAAAACCTTGAATTTTTAACAAAAGGTACAACAACTTGGTGCCCACTGTAGCTCCCTAAAGCCGCGAGGGCGAGTAAGTTTCTAGTGGCCATTGAAAGTTGTTCTCTATCTGTAAATACGAAGTAAAACTTTTCGGACGTGTTCGTGTTCATGTATTTTCTGCCATGGGGTCTTTTGTTGTCGCCGGTGATGCTATCTTCTCCAACCACGTTCGACTTTCTTAAATGCGTTGGTGACCATTGGATACAGAGAAACACGAATATTACCACTGCTACCCATACAAAAATTGACCATAAAAGCACCTTGGCTGAAGTTAAGCGTTTTCGTAAAGACACTGACATTTTGTTATATGGATGGTATGTATCTAGTTTTCCGGCTGAGAGAGCTGCATCCCGGGGGAGGGGGCTCAGTACTCAACTAAGCTTTATACGGGAAGGCTTCGCCACGAAGTCCAACCCCTTACCCTTTTATATACCATTTTTAACGGAAAAAGGTACCCTTTCGTATACTTTCTATTGACAAATGGAGCCCCTTTCACATTTCTAGCTTAGACCTTCGCATCCCTTTTAACTACTGTAAATGCACTGTCAGTTTTAAATGTGAATAAATCCTAACAGCAAGAAATTTTCTTGTCTTTTTCAATGCCGCAAAATCCTTGTGTTAGCTCTTTTAGCTCTGTTAGGTTCTTTTATGGATCGAAATGATGGATTGTGAAATCCCGCTTCCCTTTTATATACCTGCAGAAGCCTGAAAAAGGTACCCCTTTCGGGCCCAGCCTCCCCGTATAAGCCATTATTTGCCATTATAAGGAGTACTCCCCCGGGAGCTGTTAATTGATTAATCGGCCGTGTTCGCCATAATAAATGCACTAATGAAGGCTTAGATCATGCGTTCTGATGTGCGTTCGATTGATCGCATTCCGGAATAGGCCGATACGCAAACGTTTTGTAACCAATCTCTTGTACCGTGAATTGTGGACTACTTAAAAACGTTTCATTTATCGAAATATTTCATTTTAAGCAGATATTTAGACTGATTATGTACGATGTTTATTCCAGAACTAGCCACTGTAGTGAATCAAACGCTTGGATTCATATACAATAAAAAACAATATAAAACAATGCAAAGCCAATTTCATTTGCATTTGAATAAATGGATGAATAATAACTTAATTTAGTTGCGTGTCAGTGTCTTTAAGTGGACACTAAGAGACATCAAAGAATAATTCCAGAACTAAAAAAAATGTGAAAACCATGGACCATATGCATTCTTAGTCCCTTAGAAAAAATGTAAACAAAATTCTTTATATCTTTTTAGTTCTAGAATTACCAAAACCTATGGGATACGCAAATCGTGACAGTTGATTCCGCTGTGGATATGAACGCATCAAGTTCATCAGCCTGTATTGGTCGACTTTCTTTATATTTCTTTTGATTCAAAGAATAACACTTTCGGCAGTTATTAGCAAGCATTCTTAGTCCTTATTTCATGGATATTTGCCATATTGAACAGTTTAATTTTCGAATCTTGGTAGTTTGAAATCATTGTTCGAAAACATTGTTCTGTTGGTTGTACTGCGGTTTTTTTTTTCACGATACCCGCAATCTTTGCACGCGCTTTAGAATCGATGGGATAAAAGCAAATTGTCACGTGATATTTCAGGGGAGAAAACAAGAGATAAAATTTGCCAATATGGGTAATCGCAGTCGAGTTTGTTTATTCTCTCAAACGAGATGACGATTTCATAGTCATAAGAAATGTACGGTTCGAGTTTCGACAAGATTTACGTCAGTATTGTTTGCTGTGATGACATCTACGGTCGCTACTGCATCCAGAATAGTAATAGAGTGTTTTCACTCACGTGGCCAGGATCTATGCAAATTTATTAGAACAAAAGAAAGCGTTTGCATAAGAAAAGAGGTCAACTCCCACAGGACTGGTTTGGGACACCAACATGGCCGCCGTTTCATTGTTTTGGGACACCAATATGGCCGCCGTGACGTCATGTGAAAACACTCTATAAAGAACACTTCCACCCATCAATAATTGTCCATGATC